AGAGAAAGAGAGAGAAAGAGAGTGAGAGAGAGAGAGAGAGAGAGAGAGAGAGAGAGAAAGAGAGAGAAAGAGAGAGAAAGAGAGAGGGAACAGAGAAGGAAAAAGGTATTACTTCCATCAAAATTAACTCCTTAGCATAGATTCTGATGCAGAATGAGAACTCAGCCGATCGGGCTACAGTATCATTTTTCAGATAGGTTTTTGTTTGGAAAAGCAACCGAAGTTCTGACTGTTTTCGCCTCTGAAATGAGACAGATATGGCAAGAGATTCATTTCTCTAGAGAGCCCCTAAGAGCCTGCTTGGAGCCAACTCGAGCCAATCTGAATTCATCAATATCACCCTCTTCAAGCATGGTTGCATTCACCTCACGATAAATCACCGAGAAAATGGCAACTTTATACTCGCTGTGACGTGAATGTTGGGGCCGCGATAGAACCGCATTCTTCCATAATCTTCATTTCTTCTCTTCTCTTTTTTTTGCACACACCTTCTCATTTTCAAGCTTCGGCACCATTGTAATGATCTTTAGACGAAGATTTGAAGATTTCTGTACATTTTTGTCTGGGTATGGAGATATTTGGCAAGCGGGTAGATGAAGTTCAAAGGAGTTTTGACGTTGTAATTTTTTTAGATAAGTTTTGTTGTTGTTGTTGTTTTTTTTGGAGAGGAGTGAGGGGGAAAATTAGCAATGCAACTCCTTGACTGGAGAGATCAGCAAACAGATATTATGTTGAATATTGTCGTGTTTAGGGGTGTTATGTCCATCAGATGTAGTTTAGTTTTTTAGTAGAGATTTTACGGCGCTCGCAACTGCATAATAAGGTTATATGAGCGCCAGAAGATTAGAGGTATTACAAGAGAGTAACATACATAAAAAAGAAGAAGGGGAGATAAGGACGATAGATGTAGTTTTCTTGTTGTGTTAAATGATATGAAGCTGTTAGAGTTTGATGAAGTCAAGATGGAGGTGAGCGGTAAATGCCTTGTGACTAGCCAGGCAGAGAGTCGAAAGTAGAGATAATAAAAAACACCAACAACACGCACACATATACTCACACACACACACACACACACACACACACACACACACACACACACTCACACACAAACACACACACACGCACACACACACGCACACACATATACTCTCACACACACATATACTCACACACACACACAAACACACACACACAAACACACACACAAACACACACACACACATACATACACACACACACACACACACACACACAAAGACAAACCCAAACACACACGCACCAAACAAACGCACACACAGAAAAAATATCTCTTTCTCAGTCTCTATTTCATTGGCGCATATATATTCCTTATTCCTTATGCAGTTGCGAGCGCCGTAAAACTCTCTACTAAATAATAGTCTCTATTTCTCTTTCTCTCTGCCTGTTTGTCTGTCTGTCTGTCTGTCTGTCTGTCTGTCTGTCTGTCTGTCTGTCTGTCTGTCTCTCTCTCTCTCTCTCTCTCTCTCTTGCTTTTCTTTTCACGTTCTCTCTCGAACTCTTTTAAATACAGACATAACATACACAGACGCACAGTATCCCGTATAAAATAATACAACATATATAGCCTTAGGTATATGGCGACCAAAGTGCTATCTTGTCTTTTCTCCATTTTCTTAAACATTGAAAATGAGATTTCTTCTTCTTAAGCTCACTCTTTGTTATAAACTGTTTTCACTGTTATTGAAAATAGAGATGCGACAAGATAAGATAAGATAAGATAAGATAAGATACGATACGATAAGATGAGATGAGATGAGATGGGATAAGATAAGATAAGATAAGATAAGATAAGATAAGATAAGATAAGATAATACTTTATTATCGCAGAGGGAAAGCACTGAGGTCGTGAAAGGTTATCAGAATAATTATATGCTGATGTTCGCTCGCAGTGGCGAAAGAGCAGCATTAGATCCACACGTTTTAATGAACTCAACTAATGGGTGCTTGGCGTGTGCTCTGGTGTGGTTTGCTTCTTCTTTTCTATCAAACATCTATCGTCCTTATCTCCCCTTCTTCTTCTTTATGTTTGTTACTCTCTTGTAACACCTCTAATCTTCTGGCGCTCATATGACCTTATGCAGTTGCGAGCGCCGAAAACCTCTAAAAAAAATAAGAAAAAGAACTCACCAAAACAGCTATTTCTATCTTGGCCAGGTTGTCGCTCCGGTCCAGGTAGGCATCACTTTGGTTTGCCTCGGTCCGGCCCAGACTTTCGTTCAGCAGCCCGGCTGACGTCATCAATTGGGAGGGTGACGTCACATCCGGAGTCCTGTCCTGTTGGGTGACCGAGCCACTGGTTGGCAGGAGCAGAATGGCCTCCGACTCCGCCGTCACTCGAAGTTGAATTTCCATTTTTTTGACGGATGTTTCCCAGATTTTGTGTCCTCAACCGGCGATGGATTTAGCAAGGGCTTCTTGGCTCCTCGTGGTCTTCAGCACGTCATGTTTTCACTTGAAACGTGCTACTGAGAACAAAATGAAATAATAATAATCAGAACAAAACAAAACAACTTTATGATTTGTCATAACTTCTGGAAGAGTCAAGTTTGTAAAGCAAGGGACGAAATTAAAACACTCTGCTGTTACACATTTTTGGCTCCTGTGGGTTTTTTTTAAAGTGTCGGGTTACATGAATGTCTTTTGTCGATATGTCGGGGATTCCGTGTCTCACTTTCACTATCCAAGTCAGTTACCATGACAACCGGTGACATTTCACAAACAAACATCTACTTCCCTGCCCCGTCCCACCAACATTTCAATCATACAAATGTGCAAAATAAACTCTGACCACATTGCAGTCTATCTGCCGCTCACGTTTCTTGAGCCGAATTTACTTTTCGTAAAAAAAAAATATTCAGTTTCTGCGCTTTCAACACGTCACGGAGCTTGTTAAATGTCTGTGTAGACGTCATAAACGTCAGTGTGGAAAAACACAACTCGGTTATTGAAAACATGTTAGATTAGGCCCCCTCCCTCGATTCACTTACGTAAGATTTGATTTACATTCCTAATTCCCTCACGCAGCCATCTCCACGCACCTCGACATTACATATATTTATTAATCTATTTTTATATTATGTCGGGAGAAGATACAGGTGGATGGTTGGCGGGTGCTCTGGTGGGGTTTGCTGCTTCTTCTTTCCTATCAAACATCTAATGTCCTTTTCTTCCCTTCTTCTGTTTCATGTTTGCTACTCTCTTGTAACACCTCTAATCTTCTGGCGCTCATATTACCTTATGCAGTTGCAAGCGCCGTAATACTTCTACTAAACTAAAACAAAAGCAACGTATCTCTGCACCGGTCGTGTCTCCGATGACCTAGTGAACTTCTGAGGGAACACTGGGACAATGACGTCACAAAAGAGAACACATGCTAGGGAGACAATTGGGAGGCATCGTGGGGAAATCAGGCGCTCGTCAAAATAATGAAATCGAAGAAAAAGGCAATTTTTTCACCGGTTTGGTAATGTTTTTCCAATTTTTGTTTTTTGACATAACACCTTTTACGTCCATTTAAAAACAAATACCGGTCTACATTTTATAGTAAAACGTTGATTAAAGGCACAAAAATGCCAATTTTCATTTCCCAAGGACTCTCAAGCTATAGAAGTTACTAAAATGTGGACGCCATTATCTCAATAATATACCTCCGAAATTAGGTAACCCCCTCCTTCTTTAATAGGAAATACCTCGACTTTTATTCGGGACAGACGGATATTTTTTTCATTGAATGCAAGAAACCAATAACTCCACATGCCCAAAAACTGATGAGCGCCTGATTCCTCCGCGTCGAGGCACAATTTGTTCTTTTTGCTCCGACGTGCAACCCAAGCCATTCCACGAGGAGCTGGATTAAGACTGTCAGATCTGATGTCCTTGGAGCTCAGACTTAATCAGACTATCATTAATCGTTTTTAAAAACTCAGAACTCGTCCCACTTTTTTAAAGGTGAAAAAGAGACATCCTTCATCTTAGCTTAGACACAAAGAATGGGATGGAATTTTTTTTTCTTTCGCCAGGGCTGACTGTTGAAAACATTGTGACCGCTTGCTGCCGTGGTACCGCTGAGAACAAACTTAGCTAACTGGTTCAACATTAACCCGATTATTTTAGCACTAAGCGGTAACACAATTATTTCTATTCCTTTGAAAAATAATTTTATAGGACGCAAAATATATGGGTTCAATTCCCACGTATAAAAGACATATTTTTATCGACAATCTCCGTTTAGGTTTAGTTTTAGTAAGGTTTTACAGCGCTCACAACTGCAAAAGATCAAATGAGCGCCAAGGGGTGGATGTCAACAGAGAAGTTCAAACGGATCAGACTTACTCTGCTCACCCCTCTAGCTTCAACAGCACAAAGTCTGCTTCGACTATCAAGGCAACCCTGAAATAGCTGTTCTCAAGAGAGTGACAAACATACAAAAGAAGTAGATGAAAAATGACGATAGTAAGGATGGGGTAAGAAAAAGCAGCAATTCACCTTAAGTTGTTCCAGCAAAGTATGCACATGCCATTGATGAATCAGCCCATTTACAATTCTACTGAGCATAAGGACATGATAATATCCCCCCTTTGGGAATATCCTAAAGACAACTTCAGTCAATAGCACTGCCCTTGTTGGGG